TGTGTGTGTGTGTGTGTGTGTGTGTGTGTGTGTGTGTGTGTCGTGCCTACCTGGGAGCCAGGCAGCAGGATGCTGGGACGGCTGATGAATTAGAGGAGAGATTCAGGAAGGCAGGCCAAGGCTCGTGGTAGCAAGGGCCATCACAACAAATTGCTGCCTGCCCTCGTGCACTGCGTACCTTGAAGCACGCCCTGACTGTAATTTAGCAGCGGGCAAGAGACAGGCGCCCTGGGCCATTGCCACCTCTGTCTAAATGCTCGGAACTTTGTTTCTGCATCCTTCTGACTTCCTGGTGTTTGCCAACTTCTTCCGTTTTCCAGTTCTCCTTTAAATGCGTTTCTAATGGAAGTCATCATGGGTTTATTAAAATGTAAATGCTTCATCAAAACGTGTATTTCTTAGATCAGGCATGAGACAGTTCCCTGAATTTATGTATCTGTCTCTTTTCATAGGAAGGCGGGGTGATTCAAATCTGTTGATAGAACCATAAACAAGCAGAGTAGATTGGCTTTGTTCCTCGGAAGCAACAATTTCTTAGAATAGGAAGAAGGCCCTTTTAAACTGTAAATCACTCCAGTCCATTCTCGGCTCCTGTTCACTTACGGTGCCTGGTCGCCCAGCGCTGTCACCTGGACACACAGCGGGGCTGAGCCCTGGCCGCAGTGTCCACACCGCCCTGCCTTTCAGAACACGGTGCCCCTCGGTGCTGTGTTCAGTTCTTTGTGTCCCTGACTCTGAATGGCCTTATTCTTTGTTTCCTTCTCCCTGCTTCCAGACCTCACCCCCAAGTCCTTATGTTCCTTTTACTTTTCCTTTTTTTCCCTCAAGAGAAAAAGTGATGAAGAGGGGCAAGTCCGTTAGACAAAAAGATAGGCCTGGGCTGTGTTTTCACCTTCAGATTTCCAGGCACAAACAAGAGGCAAACTCAGCAGCCGCAGCTTTTTTCTCTCATATGAGAAATAGATTTTCCATGAAATCATGAGCCCTTTCCCCCAAACTGCTACCCTCGCAGTACATGCTCTGCCTTCTCCGGTTGACTCCTCCTGCTGTAAAAAGATTTCACGTATCCGTGGGGCTGGGAGCTGGCAGCAGAGGAAGCGAACGTGGAGGGGCGGGGGCTGGGGGTGTTCAGGGAAGCGGTGACACATTTCAGGTAAATCGCTGTCAGAGACATGACATTTTCATTCACAGCTTTGTCAGAGTAACCTTTGGGGGAAAGGGGGGGAATTGTCTCCTCCCGCAGGAGAGGTTGCCATTCATGTATTAATTTGCTGTTACATTAAAAAAAAAAAAAAGGAAAGAAACAACATACAAGGAAATCATTTATCTTTTTATGATCTGTTTTTCTCCCCAGAACTCCGCCTTCCCTTTTTTTTTTTTTTCCCTTCTCCCTGGGAAGTATGTTTTCCGCAGCTCCTGCTGCTTCTTAGGCTCTAATACTTGAATCTGCATGCACCTCCCATGCTTGAGTGCCGTGGCCTTGCAGGACATGGGGGACGCGGAGGCTTCCCCGCCCCGCCACGAGGCAGGGTGGGCCTCTTTTTCTGGCTCAGGGTGGCTTCTGCTCACAAGTGAAGCCCAAATTCTGACCTCGGCTGTTTGTACATAGCTCTGAATCCTTCAGAGGTCACTTGTCCCTCACCTCTTAATAATTAAGAGGCAAGAGGGTAGACACCCTTCTGGGTGGAAGGGAAGAGAGGTCTGGTGCTGTGGTCACTTGTCAGCCTGCCCTGAGGAGTTGACCCCAACAGTTAAGGATCTTTGGCCACCCCGCCCCACCCCTCTTTTCTTTTAGGTATAAAACTAAAGGGACTATCCGAAATGTTTTATTTCTTCATCTGCTCAAGTCAGGGTAGTCTATGAATAAGCAGGCCTCCTTGTTTAGTATTTGAGATGTGTGAAGAAATAATGACACGATCCCTACAGAGGCGAGTCTAAATGTAGCCTGTTTGAAAGTCACCAGAGAGGATGGAAAGTGTTGGGAATATGACCCCATCTATCCCTGTCGCGTCGTGGAGGTCCCTTCCTTCCAAACTCCTAAAGGTTTAGGAAGCTATTTCCTGTAAAGGTGTAGCTTCTACTTTATATCTAATTAGAATAGGCCAGTTTTATGCATCAAGATTCCAGATGTTGGAAGAATAAAAAGTTTACCTTGATATGCTCTTCCTTTTACAGCATTTCTGAGATTAAGATGGAAGATATTTTGTCTGTCCTGACAAGGGATGATTGTTTTAAAGGGAGCCGATGGGGAAGCCAGGTGAGTTTTATTATTTATTATACTTGCTGCGAACAGACGTGACTCATTTCTTGATTGGGGGCGGTGGAGACTTTGTGTGTGGCATAGTTCATTCCTCTGTCCAGCAGGCGTCTGTCTGAGGGACCGTGAACATTAGGTGAGGCCAGACCTTGAATGTATTTTTCTCTCTCTTTGCTTTCGGATGTATTTGCTAGTCTCATCTGGTTAATGGGCTGCTGTCCATTCTGGAAGTCCGCCAGGCCGCAGCAGGCTTCCCAGAAAGGAGGTCTCCTCCCAGCCCAGAGTGAGTTTGGAGGCAGTGTTACGTGCTCAGCCCTGGTGGTCCCTGTCCAGATCATCAGCAAGGATGACTGGCTGGACCCATCCACCCAAGACAGCATGGAAGAAATAGATCTCTCTCTGTCTCCTTTCAGACACACTTAGTTCATCTGTTTTCTAGTGTGGGTGCCATACACGGAAGGAGAGTAGAGGTTGAGATTATTAGGGAGAAAAATCTGTGTTATCCATGCAGTTCCACATGGAGATCTGGAGCGTCCTTTCCTGCTGCTTTTCTGCCAGGCAATTGTGCCCCCACCCCACTCCAACCCATAACTCGGTACATCACAGATATGTGTGCGTAATGTTGCTGAATGCAATTTTGTCTATGAAATGTGAATTATTTGGATATTTTACATTTGTTTTCTCAAGCCTAAGGATAGACTGGAAAATTAGAGCCAAATAGATCAGGCTGAAGAGTTGAGGTGAGACTTGGTCAGTGAACGCTAGCACAACAGAGATCCCTGCAAGCAAGAGAAACAGTTAAAAGACTCAGTGGATCAACAGTTGTTTTAAGCAATATTTTGTTATGAAACATCCCATATTAATAGTTCGTTGTCAAGGGAGCGGACCAGTACCCAAACAGACATTCATCGGTCCTTGCACACTTCTTCTGAAGCTAGTCCTAGGTAGGGTTTTTTCCTGTTCCCCTGGACACTTCATTACAGGCCCAGGACAGCATGGGGGAAGCAGGGGGGCCGTTCCTGCGGGCAGCAGAGCAGAGGGGTTAAGGGCATGGCCTCAGGGTCGGAGTCCCAATCTCATTCACCAGCTCCATGGCTCTGGGCAAGTACTGGAGCTTCCTAAGCCTTGGTTTCTTCATATGTCAAATTGAGGTCATGTTAGTATTCTTCTGGTTAGGAGATTGGAGGATTGAGTAAGAAAGAACCTGGAAACCCCAGTACAGTTCTGAAGGGTGTTTATCGTCATCATCAGTTAGTAGCAGATGTGGATTCAAAGTTCAGACTCAGTGATACAAAGCCCAGTGCTTTCTGCTGTGTCACCTGGAACATTAGCATCTCCCTGCTCTCCAGAAATAAGAGCAAGCAGTCAGGTCACAAAATGAGACTGTAAAGGTTCAGTCCAATCTCATCTTTACTTAACACTGTTTCTGGGACCGGCTCTGTTGTTGATGTTTGTCCCTGAACCGGGTACACATCAGTTCTGTCCAGGGAGCTGATCGTCGAGTACATCTGTGGCTGGAGCCCCTGCTGTGGACGTTCCCCCGGGGAGGGGGCAGAGCAGCTCCAGTGCCCTCTGCTCTTCCAGGAGCAAGCCACAGCCATTTCTCCACTTCTGCCCTCCGGTGGCCTTGCTCTTGCTCGGCTCTTCCCTTCCACCCCCCCGCCCCCAACCCCAAACCCCGTAAGTCCCTTCCTGGGTGTGAGGCCAGCGTTGAAGCCTTGCTGGGGCCCTGAGGCAGGCAGACTTGGGTTTCAGTCCCTGCTTCACAGCTGGTGGTTCTGCAACCTTGGGCAGCTTGTCTTCTCTCCAGCCTCAGTGTTCCCATCTGTAAACTGAGAACAAGGGTGCCCATCTTGAAGGTTGCTGTGAAGTTGACCTAAAATGAGGCAGAAAATACTCCATGCACTTCTGGGCCATGTCAGTTTGTTCCAGCCCAAGCTCCTGCCTTGATAGAGAGGGACAAATAGAATTTTTTTTTTTTTTAAGATTTTATTTATTTGACAGAGAGAGCGAGAACAGGAACACAAGCAGGGGGAGTGGGAGAAGGAGAAGCAGGCTTCCCGCCGAGCAGGGACCCCGATGTGGGACTCGATCCCAGGACCCTGAGATCATGACCTGAGCTGAAGGCAGACGCTTAACGACTGAGCCACCCAGGCACCCGACAAATAGAATATTTTTATATTTTTAAGGTGTGGCGAACTTCGTTTTTAAAAAGAAAAAATGTTCAGGGTGCCTGGGTGGCTCAGTCGGTTAAGTGGCTGCCTTCGGCTCAAGTCATGATCTCAGGGTCCTGGGATCGAGTCCCACATGGGGCTCCCTGCTCAGTGGTGGGTCTCTTTCTCCTCCCCCTCACCCCGAACTTCTGTGTGCTCCCTTGCTCGCTCTCTCTCTCACAAATAAAATCTTTTTTAAAAAAGAGAAAAAGCGCTCAGCGAGGTTGGGCTTTCATGGACACCAAAATAACTGGTATCTTACAAAACTAATCCTACTAGGTCCCACCTGTCCCGTTGATGCAAACCTGGCTTGTTTAACCAAAGTTAACTTGAATTCAGAGGCCAAAGAGAAACTAAATGAAATTGACTATATTAGTAATTACCACGTAGATCTGCAGCCTGGAAGAGTGTTTTATGTGTGTGATCTGTGTGAATAGTAAGATGAATAAAGGAGATGCTAGGTACAACTTTTAGTTCTGTTTTAATTGCTGTTCTCAGAATGGGCAGTTCTGTCTAGCACACGAACCAGTGCCAGACAGATAAATGTGGGCTCAGTAAATAGGTCTTTTTTTTTTTTTTTTAAGATTTTATTTATTTATTTGACAGAGAGAGGCACAGTGAGAGAGGGAACACCAGCAGGGGGAGTGGGAGAGGGAGAAGCAGGCTTCCCGCGGAGCAGGGACCCCAATGCAGGGCTCGATCCCAGGACCCTGGGATCATGACCTGAGCCAAAGGCAGACGCTTAACGACTGAGCACCCAGGTGCCCAGTAAATAGGTCTTTTATACACGTAGCCGGACACCTCATTATAAGGCCCTCTTCTCACTCGGTTGAAGTCCATTGTAAATGTCCCTTTGACACATACATTTTTGGGCTTCTATGAACAGAAAGAGAATGAGTGAAGCATCTGTAAAATGTATATTTCATATTTAGGTATATAAAATATATATGGCTACGTCTGGGTGTGCGAATGTTCACCTACCTACAAAGAGAATAAATTTGATCTTTCAACTTTACTGGGAAGCACTCAGAAGGTTCTAGGGAAGCATGAGGGTGAAACTCAACTTGGCAATCAAATGATTAAAACTAAATCCTTCCATTTAGTTTTAAAAATACCTTCAAAGTTAGCAATATCAAGACGTGCTTCCAAAAAGAACCAACAAACCCCTCCCCCCACCATTGCTACCACCTAAAACTTTTTTACAACAACAAAAAATACAGCCCGAGTATCTTCAGCTCGTCTGTTGCCTCTTGATGGGTGTGAAATTTTCATCTTCAAAGTATGCACCAACCCAAACATGTTTTTTCTATGAGTTGTTTTTTTTTTTTTGTCCTATGAAATATGCCTGTAAACGGACCTTAACAAAAAAAACTGGGCCATGGTGAGGTATTAAAATGAGATCAGCAGCCCCTTCCCTCAGTCTCTTTGATCGTCTCTTCTCTCAGGGATCAGTAGGGCTTTACAGACTAAGGAATACTGAATGTGGACCCTTGGAACTGCATTTTCCTAAGCTAGCCCTGGTCCACTAGTTGCAAGCTAGCTTCATTAGAACCAGTACTGGGTCTGCGCATCTTTGAGGGGTGGGCGCACCAGTCCTGCAGGGCATTCGTACACCCTCCGGGCTTTGACCTACTCTCATTACAGCAGCATTTTACCTGTCTGGGGCTGAGACGGTGCTGCATGCATAACTCTGCCCCTGTCTTCAGTTTAAATTTAGACTGTCCTCCCCAGAAGACAACTGAGAAATACCTCATTCTCAAGAGGGGTAATTTTAAAATAAAGTATTTCTGAAAGTGGGGGTAGGGGGAGAAAGGCATGCTTTTTCCTGAGTATGTTTTCTGCATTAAGTTTTTCTTATATTTCACTAAAACTGACCTCATCATTTCAAACGTGTGAACCTAGTTTTATCGCCTTTTTTCTACCTATTTCACTTGTACACACACATTAATATATGTGTGTGTATGTAATTTTTTTTTTTTTTTTGGTTGGGAAGAAAAGATGCCTCATTTTGAAACCTAAAGGGGGAATAAGAAAAGCCCTTTGTAATATATTGCCATATTATCACTAAATCCCCTGACAGTTGTGACACAGAAGCAAGTCACCTGTCACTTAAGCTTGAGGTCTCTTTAATTTTCTCCTGGAATTCGCACCAGGCTGTCTTTAATTTGAGGCCTTTATTGGAATTCTGAAACCTCTCTGCCTCCCTGGCTCTCAGATCTATTCTGAGAGCTGTTACAGAATGTATACAATAACCAACAGAGGGATTCAAGCGGGCTGGAGCTCTGTTTATCTAACACTCTAGAGGGATTTTTGTGCTTATTCGGTCCTGGCTGCCCGGCTTTCAATATCGCTTTGACAACCATTCTGCCCTTCTCATTAATTTTAAACAGTTAAAACACAGGAAAAAGAGGAAAAAGTTTTCATTATTAAAGTGCTTTACTTTTTAATAACAGAGGATTCTGTCCGCCAGGGGAAAGGGCATCCTCGCTAATTTCACATTCATATAAAAAAAAAACACACACACAAGGAAGGTGACAGTTGCGTTGCCGAGGTGGCTTAACAAAAGGAGGGCAGCAAAAAAAAAAAAAAAGTTTGCATTTGAGGGTAAAAAAAAAAAAATCCTTGTTAATGACAATAGCAAATGTCCACTTCCATAACACAGCTCCTGAGTGACTTTTCTCTTGACATTTGAGTGGATAAAACCCTTAGGGGGACCATGTACTATGAAATCAGCTAGACTGTCATCAACCAAACAGGTAGCAGGAATGATTTGACGAAGCTAAAAACATTTTCAGGTTGTTAAAGTCTCTATTAATACAGACAGGGACGTCAACCCAAAGAATGAGGCTTTTTCTTCGCTCCCCTTTGTTCTTCCTCTGGTAGCTTTAAAAGAGAAAGAGACTCTAGAGCCCAGTTTGGGCACCCTGTCCTCTGCGGGGGTTAAGGGAGGCAGGGACTAGGGCTCACACTGTTCCCTGGTGACCCACGTGGGCGGTGGGTGTTGGTTACTGTAGAGACTGAGTAGCATCTCTGAGACAATCTGTGTCTTTGGGGAGACCTATTAGCCAAATTGAGTTTGGAGAATCTGGGTTCTTTGGATCTCAGTTTTACATTCAGTAGAAAGCATTCGTGTTTGTTTGAAGACATAGGAAACAGGGGCGCCTGGCTGGCTCGGTTGGTAGAGCATGTGGCCCTTGATCTCGGGGTCGTGAGTTCAAGCCTCACGTTGGGTTTAGAGCTTACTTAAAAAAAAAAAAAAAAATATATATATATATATATATATATATATATATATATATTTTAGGAGACATTATAAGGGGGAAATTTTTCTATGGGATTTTTTAAGAATGAAAAGGATATGATTTTTTTTTTTTTTTAGTAACATTTTCCATCTGTAGAACTTTAGTGCATACAGATGTCACTCCTTACACGGGATGGTTTGCTGCAGAGATCGTGTGGTCATCTCTGAATGTGATGTGAAGGAATAGCCAACTCCTTAATAGGTCCCTGGCATCCAGCACAGTGGTCCCTCCCTGAAAGAATGGATCTGAAACACTACAAGTCTGAGCCTCCCTAGGAATTGAGGGAGCATGCTCTGAATTCAAGGACAGGCTAAATTTTAGGCAGGCCCCTGTGGGGCCCTCTTAAAGAGAAGGTCCCGTTGTTCCCCTGAGGAGGGTGAGGGAGGGGAAAGATTTAAGGCCTCAGTAGGACACACAAGTCATGTGAAACCTGCCTGTGTTCAATGATGTTTTAAATGCCTGAATTGGACTTGGAAAATTCCAGAATGTCTCCAGTGGGCATTCATTTTGAACAAGAGGCCAGGAGGACGAGTAAGTAAGTAAACAAGTAAATAAATAGACCTGATCTTCTCCCTCACAAAGCCATCTTCATCTTTGCTTGACTTTAACATCTTTATAGCTCCCGTTTTTCCTCTAGTAATATTGAAAGGATTACCCTTGTTGGCCCCTCGGTGGTTACCGGGTGGTTTTACTGTTATTAAATCTATTATAAAGTGCTTCATTATTCCTGACTCTGACTCTGTCTCTTTCTTTAATCCTTCCGCCACCCTCCCAGAAATCCCGTGCTGCTGGCCCCCAGGAAATCCGAGAGCGAGCCACCGTCTTGCAGACGGTGTTTGAAGATTACGTGCACTCCAGCTCAAGGAGGGTCTCCTGGGCGAAGAAAGGTCTGTGGATTTCGTGGGTGCTTGTGCATGGATAGCCCCCAGAACGCCGTCCCCACCTCCACCCGCACACCCCCGACGGGCTGAGAGGCGACCAGGGGGTTTCTGCTCTCCAACAAAAGCCTTCAGTCTCCCTTGTTCTGCAGGGTCTGGAAGCAGGCACAGAAGGCTTTAAAGCGATATTAAATGCTAATTTCATCCTTCCCCATGTTTTGCACAAATGAGGCTTTATCTTGGCTTACGTAGGACTAGAACTTTGACCCAGTGACTTGGATCTCAGGGATCCATTTTTGTCTTTCTTTGAAAACTGGATAGACGAGACGTGACACGTCAGAGACCGTTGTAGGCATAGAAATTAGAGTTGAAGGTAAGGACCGGGAGCATCAGACCTGAGCAGTCTGTTTGGACATACAGAGGAAGATGAGAAAGAAGTGCTGAGGGAGGGCCCTAGACCTTGAACCCAGTTCCTGGGGAATTTACAGGAGAGCTAGGTGTTCACTTAATATTCAGGCCCTCTTACCAGGTAACTCGGCTCCTGGGATCACCAGGCATTAGTGGGACTCAGCAGTTCAGTGGAGCAGAGTGGAGCACACGGGATGGGCTTCGAACAGCTCCTTACGGCGGCATGCCGTGCGTCGTGGTTGGTGATTGTGTCATGCGTGCTGAAGTGACGCGGTCCATGCTGGGGGCCCCTCGCTTCTTTCTGGTAGTTTACCTGCTATTTTGACAAGCATGTTGGGCTGGCTTACCAGAACATCCATCTTTTCCTTTTATGAATTGAAATTTAAAAAAAAAAATCATTTAACAAATAGTTATTGAATTAGTCACCGTTCTAGGTGCTTGGGATACATCAGGAATCAAAACAGAAACCCTAACCTCTCTAACATTCTAGTGGGGGAGCAGACAGTGAGCATAGTAAAAATAAATAAACAAATAGTCTTTTAAAAGGGGTTAAGAACTATGGAAAAAACAGAGCCTGTAAGGGAGGTGAAGGGGTAATTGGGCAGAGTGCATTTTACGTAGGGGGTCATTGTGAGCCCTGCTGTGAAGGCCGCACGAGCAAATTGAGGGTCACACACTGCCGACAGGAGGGCATGCCAGGCCCAGAGGAGCTCTGGGGGGCAGGGTGGCCACAGGAGGGGAGGGCCCGCGCAGCAGAGGAGGCTTGGGGGAGGGCTTTGGGGGACCCCAAGGTCAGTGGGAGCCATTGCAGGACTTGGAGCAGAGATGTGGCACGGCCCACAGAGGTTGGAAAAGATGGCTGGTGTGAGAATAGACTGGGGGGCAAGGGTGAGTGCTGGGGGACTGGTTCCAGGCAGTTGTCATCAGGAGATCAAGGACAATGGGTTAGTTGGCAGATGTTTTTGAGTGCCTACTGGATACCCTGGCACACTATATAAAAGCAGCCCTTGGTTGTTGCCGTCACGCTGGAACAAACCAGAGCTACGCAGGATGAAAGACGAAGTCCCAGTGATGGCCCCATAACCACTGATGCGTCATTAGCGTGTAGCATTCTGGACTGCTTCCTCATAGTGGCCTGTGCTCGCATTTCCCTCAAGTGAATTCAGCAGTTCCTAAGGGTTTTCCTCAGAACCTAGTTTTAGAGCAGTACTAACACACGTCTCTCAAGAGGAATAGATTATTTGTCACGGCATAACTGCAGACATTGGGCGTCTGACAGGCAGTGTGAGCTTGCTGGGTGGTGCATCACGAGGTGTGGTGCTGCAGGATTTCTGGGTTAATAACAAAGTGGCGATGAAAAGAAAGAAATCAAGGCCATGCCGTCATCTTCGTCGTTGGTTTTGAGGTCAGAGGTGTTTTGGATCTTCTGGCGAGACTACGATTATCTCAGGGTGTCTGGTCATCAGAGTAAGGCTGTAGTGAGGAATTCTTAGTGTGGTTTTGTGTTTTCACTCGTCATCACCACTGCTGAAATCGTTCATGCCAGGAAACAAGCCGAGTTTCTTGTCTTCTCTCTAAAGGATATCGGAGTGGGGCCACTCTGCGGTGTTGAGGCACCAAAAAGGAAATTAACAGGCATTTTTCTCCTCTGCTAATTGATTTCCACATCAGATTGGTGACGGTCTGGGAGGAAGCCGCCTGTGGTAGGTCTTGGCCACTCCACTCCTTCCTCTTCTGGTACTCAGCGTGCTGAGCTCCGGAGGTCACAACACGGGGACAGCAACTGCACCCCACAAGTTGAAACTCTCTTCTGCGTTTCAATCTGCATATGCAAATTCTCCACTGCTTCTGTGCCTCCCTTTTATGCCATTTCAGAGCCCACCTCATGAATAATTAACAAAGCAGCTGGTTTTTGCCTTTATGGCAGAAAACTAGTTAGAAACTGGGCCAAGTATGCATTTGTTTTCCTTTTGCATTTCCTGACCCAGTCATTGTTAATAACCAGCGTTTAATTGTTTTCAGTTTCCAGAAGGAGTCACGCTTCCCCCCCCTCATTTCTTGCCTCCTTTAGCTAGATTCAAGTAGTTAAAAACGGTGCTAACAGAAGTTTGAACTCCAGACTCCTGAACAAAAATTTCAGAAACTGGAGTTCTTTACCTACAAACCACCGCTTTCCTGTGGTGAGGCCCCTCCAGCTTCAGGGGGCCCACATGCGGAGGAGTTGTGCCTGGCTTGGAAGAGCTGCTCTGCAAAGTCAAGAACACCCAAACCACTGATGACAGATTAGCCCCCTCTCTCAGTGTGATTGCAGGTAGGCAGATGCTCGACCAAATGCTTTGATACTGTTGTGGTGTCAGGTAGGCAGGTGCATGTGCCTTTACTCTGCACAGACGTTCGTGTCCCCTTCTGGGGGCAGGGGCAAGTTTCTTTCCTCCCTACCTCTTTGACCTTAAGTATCATCCATAAGATACTACTATTCCCGATCAGATGGCCAAGAATAAATCTGATTTGAGGAACAAGGATGAAATAGATTGCCCTTACAGCTATGAGATAGGAGCCCGTGGCTCCGGAGCACATGCTCTAAGTGGCCGCAGCTTCCTCCGCCATCCTAGATAAATGCCCTCTTTCTCTGCTCTGGGCCCTACAGCCCCTCTTCCCGCTGCAAGTTCTCGACACTGCCCCCGGAAAGCATCCAGAACAGCTTCTGCTGAAATTCCTGCTTCCCTGAACCATCCAAACACGGGAGGCCATTCAGGGATGTGAGGACAGCCAGGTGTCGCTGGCCCCAGGGAGACAGGAGCCTTGAGGACAAGGAGGGTTAGTAAAAATACACAGTGCGAAATGCTGCCTGAGCAGTTGTGGAGGGAGACCGCACGTCCGCCATTTCTTGGCAGACTCGTTACTCCTGTAGAGCTGTTAGCTGAGCACCTGCATCTCGTGGGACAGAGGCTCTCCATCCTCCGCTCTTCAGTTTGGTGCAGGAATAGGAGGCTAATGTGCTTATGTGGGAGAGCGGTGTGCATGAGGAGGCCTGGGCCAGCCTTTGGACAACCGAGATTTTTTTTTAGATTTTATTTATTTACTTGAGAGAGAGAATGAGGTAGAGAGCATGAGAGGGGAGAGGGTCAGAGGGAGAAGCAGACTCCCTGCCGAGCAGGGAGCCCGATGCGGGACTCGATCCCGGGACTCCAGGATCATGACCTGAGCCGAAGGCAGTCGCTTAACGAACTGAGCCACCCAGGCGCCCTGGACAACCAAGACTGTAAAGGTGCAGAGTCTTTGGCTTGGCTTGGTGTGGCTGCAGTCTGCTTTGTTAGACCAGGAGTCAGGGTTGAGGCTCAGGAAAGGGGTGGCGGCGCAGGGTGTGGAGAAGAGGCCTGTACCCCGCCCCTTCCCCTCCCCCCAGGGGTGGTGGCAGCAGGCCCCCCCCAAGGACTGGAGTAGATAGCTCCGTGTCTGGAACCTGGTGTCAGAACCTGCAGACAGTGCAGACCATGTGAAGTGTTAAAAGATTTCCCCTGAAAACGCTAGTCCCCAGTTATTAAAAAGGGGAGTAAGCACAGATTTACGAAAGGGGTGCAGAGGAGTTGCCTTGGTTATTATTTCTCATCGATTGGGAAAAGGAGTTCACTTTACTCAGTAAATAGAGCTTTCATGGATTCCCAGGATCCTTCCAGGAGCTGATCTGCTAAAATGACACTTTTTATTACTGTTCATAAACGCCAATCTCCAGGTGCTGCTGGGATATTACGTTTAAGCTGTGGGCAAACTTGCCAGTCCAGTGGCTCAACAAGCAAGGGCGAGAGAGGCTGGTGTTTAGTGCCTGCTTTTCCATGAGACGAGCGGCACTGGGCTCCGGCTTGGCCAGTGGGAGAGCCAGGCTTGGAAGGAAAGTGAGCGGCGATGGGCTTGGGGCTCCTTCAGAGCCATCTCCTCTTGCCCTGTTGCAGTAAGAAGAGGCAGACACTTGATTTTTATTGAAATCGCAATATATTTGAGGGGAACTGGGTATAGGAACGTCTCTTTCCTCGAAGGGATACCGAGTTAAGGTGTAGCCAGAGCACCACGCTCCTGCGAACCACGTCTGCCTTTTCTCTGGCCAGCACTGGGCTCTAGAACAGGGGCGCCTTCTTAACTTTAAGACAGGACTGAAACCACGATGCAGCGTCGGATGGACATCTCTGGACTGTTGGCAGTCCTCAAGGGAGGGACTGTTTTGTGGGCTGTTTTAGAAATTTAATAATTGCCTTCCTCCTTTTTAAGAATTCTGTTTTCATTGTCTTTTTTATGCAGTTTTCAAATGGGTAAGAAGCACTGTATCAGTAAATCTTAGATGCTTTAGAATGAATTTGGTTTTAAAATCCCAGGAGTCCACGAGGAAGTAGCAGCCATCCCTGTCGATAGGGGGGTAGAGGCGGGGCCTGCGGGTGAGCGGACTTATGGCAGTAGTAACCCATCAACCCACCGTGGTGATAAGCAGAATGACAAACACGGTAAAGCTTTTGGAACCTTTTCAGTTTTATAACGTGCATATATTAGCTATGCAAAAATAAATGAAGTTGAATTAGGAAAATGTTTTCCTAACATAAAGGTCTAATGATCTCGTTTTTCATGAGAGAATGCCGCATTGATCGTGTTTTAGTTCCTTCACTCATTCTGCTCTTCGTTCATTTGTATGACAAACACTTAGCAGCTTGCGGTGCCCCAGCTACCATGCAAGGCCCCAAGCCCATAACGGGGGCAAAAACGGGGCCCGTGCCCTCCAGGGTGAGGACACGCTGCACAGTAAAACCTGAAAATAGATTGGGTTTAATCAACAGATACTTGTGTCCTATAGGTTTAGTTTTTGAGGAATAAAAAAAAAAAAAAAAAAAACACAAAGATTTAGGTGGTTCCTGTACGTGGTGCTGTCCTGGCTGTGTGTGGCGCGTTTCCCGGCAAGATATGGTGGGCAGGACAGCCGTTGGGCCAGGGTACGGGGGGCGCTCCGAGCCCCCATCCTGACGGCCTCTCTGACCTTCATTCCCTCCCAGCTCTGCAGGCCTTCATCCGAGCCTACGCAACCTACCCCCGGGAGCTGAAGCACATCTTCCATGTCCGGTCGCTCCACCTCGGCCACGTGGCTAAGAGCTTTGGGCTGAGAGATGCCCCCCAGAATCTTAGTGTCGCAGCTGTGAAGAGAAGGAAAGCGAACCTGAACAGGTAAAATGGGCGGAGTTTGCCCTGTGACAAATGGCTGGAAGTCAGGTGGGTGTGGAGAGCTCTGGGCCCAGCAGCAGCAGGGAGGTAATGTGCTGGGCTGCTGCGTGCTCAGTGTCCACTCTTCCATCTTTGGTTCTTGTGGTAAATCATCACCAGTGTCTGCTCTGCCGCTCTCTCAGTATAGTAAGTGCTTGGAGCAAGAGGGAAAAACACCTCATCTGAATGTTTTTAAGGCACCTGCAGAAATGCAGTGAGGTCTCCTGTCGGGTCCAGATGTCGTGGGGATATTATTGGGGCAGCAAGACAAACCTGTTGGGTTATCCTCACTGCCCACCAGCAGAGTAACTCGGGGACTTGCTGGAGTCAGAGCTTCAGATGTGCTGTGGTTCACCCTGGAAAGCCTCCGGAGCTTGTACGAGAACTTCTGGCGTGTTCTGTGAGATTTGCCAGGCCCTGTCCTGGTGAGATGGGAGGAGCAGCGTGTGGAGTTCCAGCTTAGCACCTTTCTCCTGTAGGCTGGCTCCAGGGGCCAGCACTGGACTCCCTGTACCTCGTCACTCTCCTCAGTGCTGAGCACACACCCGGGCAAGCGCCAGACCCTCTCCCCCTCCCTCCCCTCCCGCAGAAAGCCTGTTCCAAACTGTGCAGAGGTCCTAGTGAAGAGACCCTGCAGGGTGAAGCCTGGGCTCAGAGTCCACCTCCATAGTTTCAGGAGGTCCTGAAACCACAAAATACCTTCGCAAAAGGCCTTTCTCTCCTCAGAGACCGGGTGTACTTTCAATATCAGCCCCAGCCCCTTGCAGGAACCAGAATACTTCAGATCCCATGGGCTGCTTTTAGGGGGAGTTTGTGTAGTACGTGGGTGGGAAAGATACATTGAACAAACATTTGGGGGTCAGTGAACCCTTGAATGCTCTGGACAGTCACTTTGTATTGCATGTCATTCTTTTTGCTTATTAATTACAAATGCCACAATCCACTTGCCCTGACTCCAAGAATCTGTGGGCGTGCCACACTTTTCCTCCATGTTCCCACACAACGCTCACTTGCGCATTCGCCGCCGCCACCCTTGTCGGCGCCTGGTTTCTCTGGAGCCCAGTGACAGAAGGGAGAGAGGACCACCCAGTGTAGGGAAATGATCGCTGGCCTTGGATGCGGAGGCCTTGGACTCAGTTCCAGCTCCACTGTGATGTGAGCTTCTGAGCTTTGGGCCACGTCTTTGCTTAACTTCCCAGAGCCTCGGGTCCCCCAACTACAGAAGGGAGAAGGAAATCAGTGTTTTTAGCAATTTCCCAAAACTGTTCTGAGAATCAGCATGAGGGTGGGTCATACAGATGAAGCACCTTAGAACAGAGACCTAGAGACCAGGTGGGTTAAGATTCTGGAACATCCAACATGGTCTGTTCAGGGACTTGGCATCTATAAGGCTCTTTGTAATGGATACAGTTTGCCTAATTGTAATACCGATTTGGGGATCTTTAAGATGGTTGCTTTTTTTACTCATGATAATACCACTCATATAGGACCATACTCCAGTAATTCTCTGAGGCAAGGCGTTCTCGTCATGCTGCTGTTCATCCATGCCCACACAAGACTAAGATACATCTGGCTCTGGTTTCTGCCAGGCGGTTTTGAGGTGCAGGGCGCTGCCTGCTGCCCCAGCTGCGTGTTCTGGGCAGGGCCGCAGCCAGCGACTTCTCTGTCCATCCTCCCAGAGGGAGAAGACGCCTCACATCTACTCTCAGGCACGATGGCGGCGCACCAGCGTTAGGTTGCTGTCCTGGGATTGGAGGTGGCTGGTATCTCTCCATGCTGACTTTGATTTTGAGTGTGTGAGGCTTGAGGTCAGGTCTGAGGGTGACCTCCTAGTGATCTGGAAGCCAGGCCATCCTGCCACCGTTTCTAAGATGTTGGTACTTGGAGAAGATAGGAATGCACCTGCCAGTCGATTACTGGTAAGAGACATGTATTTTGCTGATTCCTCTCCCCGCATGTAAATGCGGTCCCAGTATCTTATTGTTCGCAGCTGATGTACGTTTATGACTGGGAATTTCATTAGCAAGTGTGAATCCAGATAGCAGCTCTTCAGACTGGGGTGTCCTCGGCTCTTCCCCAGGTCCTGGAAAGCGGAGTGGCAAGGAGGGAGGCAGTTGGGAGGGGGGCTTGGGGCCAGCATTGTCCTTACCTTGAGAAGCCACTAGGGAGAGAGCAAGCCGCCGCCTCCTGCTTCGGCTGGCCCTGCTAGCAGATGGGCACCAGGGCTACTGTACCCCTGTGAGCAGGGGATTTAGCAGGGCTTTATTTCGGGAAGAATGGGCTGATTAGCCGATAAAGAGCATGTAAGATGGTATGGGGCAGCCTTTGATGTCTGGCTGGCGCGGCAGGGAGCCGGGTGGTGAGTGACAGCAGTGTGTCACAGGATTACTCCGCCTGCGACAATACCGCTCTCTGTTCTGGCCATGTCATCACTCAGTTACAGCTACTTTTTGGGTTGTTATGCCCTTCTTTTGAAGGCATTTCTCTCCACACTCTCAGATCCTCCCACCCCATCCCTGCCTTGCTAACGCAGACGGGCACTCGGGAATACGGTAGGCACCTTTTTTTATTTGGGGAAATCTTGTCACTTGCGCAAGAAGAATGACTTTGCAGCTAATCTGCACATGGACCGTATAATTGTGGTCGGGGTAAGCGGCAGAGAGAACTTGACAGATTTTCCACACCTCAGTCAGGGCTCAAGCAAATGCCAGTTGCTGCTTCTTGAGCCCTGGGAAGAAAAGTGCATTAAAGCCAACAAAGTGCAGAGAGTTACGCTGTGGCCACAGTGATTGTTCTGAGCCCAGGCGTCTCCTCTGAAATCCATCTGTCAAGAAAGAGAGTGGCTCCTTATGTTTTGTATGGATGGATCAAGTAATAGCACTAAATTTGCCACATTATTCTGCATTCCACTTGATGGGGTTTACTGCCTGGAATGGTTACATGTTCTGTGCAAACCTCTGATACCTGCAGACACCAAACAAGGAGTTCGTCTGGGCGTTAGAAACGCGAAGCAAGGGCAGGTTAGCTCAGGTTAGCAACGGCAAAGGGAAGTTTTATCTCGTCTGTGTGCTTTTAGTCTTTTGACCACTGTTCAGAAAAAGAAATGATGTCCTCAAATGAGATCTTAATCACCAGGTCGGTGTCTCCTTTTTCAGTCCTTAGTTCTGAAAGGGAACATGAACTGGTTCTCCCCCGCACGCAAATAGTCATAGTTACAAAATTCTTCTGACACCTAAACGCAGACCTGCCAAAGCATCCCCCCACCCCAAACCCCGACACAGACATGCACACAGGGAGTCGGTGCTGGTGGTAAAATATTGAGTGGCCCCTTAGCAACATCCGTCACAAACACAGCCTTTTCCCCTGTGAAATGCAGTTCGGATCTGAAGCTGGGTAGATTCAGCAGTTGCTTCAGAGAAGCAAAGGTAACAGACCTTCCAAAATTTCCCGTCTTCCCAGGGGACACTGAGCCCCAGTGTGTCTGCTTCGGGAGGGCAGAGTTGTGTTGTTTGCCAGGGTGTCTGTCTGTGTAGGCAGTCACACATGAGTCGTGAGCAGGCACGCCGTGGAGGGCTCGGATCCCTCACCTGTCTGATACCGTGGAGAATGGTTCAATAGAACGCTTTACGGTGTCAGCGCTACCGTGGCAATATGGAAGAGCAAGTCTGCTGGTTGTAACCACCCTCTCTCGTGTGAGTTATATGCTGGCACCATGAAAGTGCTGCTCTTCCCCAAACGATTTAGTCTGTAGCTCCCTAAGACTTGTCTACCACTGGCTTCTCCCACCTGTGTTTTTCTGATGTTTTTCTTAGTGCCTAGAAACATCTGGGACATCGCCTTTATCAGTAACCCAATAACTATGCTCCCCTGTTCTCAGCTCCCTCCTCTTAAAATTAGTAGAAAAACAACAGTCTGAATTGTTGACTGTTCTTAAAAGAAATGCAGTTTTGTTTTATTTGTGTACATTTTCTCAGACCAGCCTTGTTAAGCGTTACCTGATCTTACCGAACAGGTAAACAGTCTGAAACGAGGGATCTCTTAACCCTAACTACTGGATCTGTGTGTGCATGGCCAGGGCTTAGCAGCTGTGGTCAGTAATATAGGGGTACATGGGGGCTGGCTCCCCTGGGTCCTGGCCTCGGGGCAGAGCCACCGGCACCCGAGCACCGCAGAGCATTGCCTTAACTTCTGTCACCCCCAAAGTTTTAGATACAGTGCATTCTCTCATGGAGAGGGTGCTCACCAGACTTTTCCCATCTGAATGATCACCAGTGGTTTATCACCAGAGTTTAAACTGGGGGTTTTGCAGAGCTCCATCTGAGGCATTTTGCAATTTTGAAGGCCTTTGCCCTGTCGTTTGCTGTGATTCTCACCCTCGCCTGCTCAGTAGTTGTTTAATAACTACCGAGAGTCCCTACTGACTAGTACTCCAGTGCCCCCATCGTGTCCTAAATGCCGAGTAAGGGGGGTCACACAGTGATGAAGAGTCGGGACTGAGCCATTTCCCCTGTTTGTGCCCTGGGACAGGTGACTCAGCCTCTCTCTGCCTAGTCCCCCCACCTCCCAAACGGGGAACTGGAGCTGTATGGTGCTGTTGTGGGGACCAAACCAGGTGCGGAGTGGAGGGCGTCAACACGGTGTCGCACGTGAACACACGGGAGCACTTGCTGCTAGTTCTTGGCGCCCGCCTTCCCCGTCCCTGTGAGTGTCCCTGCGATGGGGAGGAGGAAGTGTGGCCAGTGGTCAGCTGTGCAGCACCCTTGAACTTGTCTTATCAGGAACAACCTTGTAAACGTGGAGCTGGTCCTCTCTGAGACACGCATTAAGAAGCTGCAGCTGCAGCTCCCTGTAAGGCAATATTCTCATCATTAGGAGCAGCTTGCCTGCCAATTTTTATGTGGCATTTACAACCTCCCTAATATCACTTAATTAGCTGAAGGCAAACCTGGAATCTTGCCCACTGT